ATTAGTATAGTTATGTTCATATTTAATATAATAATATTAATAAATGTCTTTATTAACAAACAAATTAATTTTCCTTTACAATAAAATATTATTTCAGTAGGACGAGATTCAGTTTGTATACCACTGTGTAACAGCGGAATACAACTGCTCTTTCACCTAACCCCCCTGAAGATAGGATAGATACATATTAAATTTATAAATTATAAACTATTTATTTTCATAACTTCTTCTTTTTCTTCGCGTACCATATCAGAATTATGTAACGTTGGCGATCACCGTTGCGAAGGCTTCTCGATCTTCTGCAATTAGGAATAATTGTCCTGCATTTGATGTCTGAATCCATTTACGAATGTTTTTTAACCAAGAAACTTGTTTTCTTCCTACACCTCTGCGGCCCTCTATTTTGCCTTTAAGGATTTGTTGTAATATTTTATATCGACTTCCCCTTACTATGTGTCCCAAATAAGACATTTTTCGATATTTAGCAGTTCTCTATCTTTGTTGACGTTCCTTAGTACTTCTCCATTAGTTTTCTTTGCAGTCCAAGGTATCTTCAGCATTCGTCTATGAACCCACATTTCCAATGCTTCAATTTTGTTCATGATCGATATTTTTAGCGTCCACACTTCTGCACTATACAAAAGAACCAAACATAGCACATAACCATTATTTGCCTTAGTTCTAAACTGAGATGGTAATTGCAAAGAAATGACTTCATTTTCATAAAAATAGTTTTAGTCATTGCTATTCTACGTTTTATTCTATGTCTGGTGGTTCGGTATCACAGTTCCCAAATATGTCAATTTGTGAACTTCTCAACTTGGACTCCGTTCAATTGAAGCTTTGCATCGGGATGTGGGTCATGACTAAACAATAAAAATTTGGTTTTGTTTGAGTTTATTTTAATGCATATTTCCTCTCCTACCTAGCAAATACGATTAAGCAGAATTTTAAGACCTTCAATATTATATGATAGAATTACTGTATCGTAGGCATATCTAATCACATTAAGTAGTTCCCCGTTGATTTTGATTCCATTCCATATTAAATGCCACTTCTATAGCTAGACATACACTACTCCTTTATTTTGTTCTCACGGCATTTTATCTAAATGTTTAAACGAAACACCCTGTACAATTCAAAATTTCCTAAAATCTTATATCAGATGTATTTTTGTTTTCCAAATACTTTTTTAATTAAAGAAACTGAATTTGGCTAAATATCAAAGGTACGTTTTGTTTTCCGAAATGTCACTAACAAAATATCTTTTATAATTTGATATTTATTCTCAACGAGATAATTGATAAAATCTGATATACCACAATGTAACAGATTCCGAACAAAATTGGTTTAATCTATTAAATTAAAAATACAACCGTTAAACCGATAAAGTTTTAACTTCAATCGTTCAAAAGTTACTGAAAAATGTTTATGATACGAACGTTTTATTACCAAAATAATTTACACGAACAAATAGCCTATTAATTTTATTAATTAATGATCACATTATCTCCCTTATTCTATTTAATAGTATTCGAGTTTATTACAAATCAGTCATATAATAGTTTGTATTGCTCATGCGTCAAGCTACGTAGTTATCGGGTTTTATACTCCTATGTTGTATTCCGGAATTGTTTGTTTCTGAAGTTTCGTCTGTCACTGCAGCAGACCTGACTTCATATAGTTTTCCTCAGCCACTGATGATCTTTCTTACGTATTTGTAAGCTTCTTGGAGTCCGCCGCTTTGGGATAAGTTGGGGCGGAGGGTCGCTGAAGCAGCGGTCGCCATGTTCCCGACAGTCTTTTAGCGTCATTGCGCGTGTTTTAGCTGTCAGGCCGTTTTTCTATTTCGATGGCTTCACGAATATTTCTCAATTAAAATCGAGATTTCACGCTCCATAAAATGATGCTCGAATAACTGATGACACATTTAGATAATTCCTTGTACTGACATCCTTTAGTTTCTTGAGGTCCTGATGAAGCTGTACAACTTTTAAATAGCGAACCAGTCGGTTAATCTTCCTCTTACTAAATATATACAACAACTTAAGACGTATTGTGGGACTTAAGACCCAAGTCCCTAAATTCATATACAATTTCCGTTTTGAGACTGTTCCATATACTAAAAATACGAATACATAGAAAATGTTGGCTGCTTATCGATGAAAAGGATTCTCACTTCACTTTCAAACTGTCTCTACGTTGACTGGTGTGATCATATGAAATAAACAGGTATTGTAAATTTCCATATCCATACTTCGGAAGGTGATAATTAAGTCACCACGGAGTCAAAGAGCTTCAAAAGTTAGTATAAAGAAAGTCTTCGTAATCTGACCTTATTCTTTTGAAAGATAGTCTGGTGGATTCTTTTGGTTATTGTCGATAAGAGTTCCATCACGCTCTAATTATGGGCTTCTTACGAAGCTATTCAAAAACATCTACGAGACTGGTTACTTACCAAAAGACTGGCTACCATCAATATTCATTCCACTTCCTAAAAAAGCCAACACTAGAAAATGCAAGCATAGATTAATTAGTTTGATGAGCTATGTTCTTAAAGTACTCCTTACTATCATTCACTTGCGTATATACACCAAATTAGAAGAACACCTGAATGAAGTTCAATTTGGATTCAGAGAATGACTCGGAACGAGGGAAGCACTTTTTAGTTTGCAATGTCTAATAAAGAGAGCAAAGGATGTCAAGTCAATTGCGATGTGTTTGCATGTTTCATTAATTTCGAGAAGGCATTTAATAAAGTCCCACATGGGAAACTAATCGATATCCTAAAAACATCAGGACTCGATGGTAAGGATATAAGACTGATCTCAAACTTATATCTGTTACAAAAAGCAACAGTACGATTAGAAAATGAACCGTCTGAGATCTTCACAGTCGAAAAAGGAGTTAGACAGGGTTGCATATTGTCATAGGCATTATTTAACATATACCCTGAAAACATCTTTAGAGAGACCTTAGACGAATCAGAAGATGAGATCGCTGTAAATCGCCAACTTACAACAACCAAAACCGATTTTTGTTTTTTTTTTAATCCAATAGGTTACAAAGTTACATTTACAATGCACTTTAGTTTGCTATACTTCATTCGACTTGATATCAATATAATTAAAATTACTTAAAAATAAATTGGAGAATGCAATTCATGTTTTATTTTTACTACCATCAAAAAAAATTTATCATGTATTTTAACACGTTTGTATATTTGTATAATAGGTACATTTTAACTCATTTAATACTTCCTGTATGGGTGTATCGTTGTGAAAACGTAGGAAAATCCTTGGAGATTCGTATTCGTAATCGGTAATTCGATATTCATAGTCAGAACATTATTTTTGGTAATCAGAAAAATACATTCACCCACTTTCAATGTTAAAAGAGTCAAGTGTAAAAAAATAGATGATGTACCAGCAGATCATTTCTTATGTAAATATTATGATTACAAATATCTTTTCAACGAAATATTATAATAAAACTTAATTGTTTCTGGGTGATGTGAGTTTGCACTTTCAGTTTGCTTCTGTATTATTTTTAAATTAAAGTAAAATTTGAATTATGGTTTTGTTTGGAATAATTACTTGAGAATAATAATTATATCATTGGGATACTTGATCTAATCCTAATTACCGTAAAAACCTAATAACCGGTTTTCACTTTAAAAATAAAAAACCGGTTATAACCAGGACAAAAGAACAACCGACAACACTGGTTATTGCGACGTAAAAAACCCGGTTTTCGATTAAAACCGGTAATTTTTTCTCATCCCTAGCTTCTTTTGCCCATAGTTCTACGTTATCACAAGCTTTTTTATATTCTATGAAAGCCAGACATAATGAGAGGTTGAATTCGTTAGTCTTTTTTATTAGGATTTTCAAAGTATATAGATGGTCACAGGTACTGTACCCTTTTCTAAATCCGGCTTGTTCTACTGGTTCATATCGGTCAAATTTAATTGTTAACCTATTTGTAATTAGCTTTGTAAAGGTTTTGTAAAGTTATAAAAGAAGTGAAATTAGTCATAATTTTTTAGGTCTATGGTGTCTCCCTTTTTGTGTATTGGTATTGTTTTAGCAGTATTCCATTGTTCGGGTATGTTGCCTTGAAATAGACATTTATTAAATAATATTTTTAGATATGTGATGGTTTCTTCTCCGCCTTCCTTCAGCATATTTGCTAGGATTTCATCGCTTCCAGGAGCTTCATTCCTTTTTATTTCTTTTACTGCTCTTCCTATTTATTCATGGATTATTTCGGGCATCATTTGACAAGTTAACATTTCTTATCTGGCTTTTCAAATTATGCTTTGAGGAGTTAGGGGGATCGTTTCTGGAAAGGTACAGATCGGCGTAGAAATTCTCAATTAAGTTTGCAATATCAGATTTACTTTTTTCTAGTTGTTCTTGTTCAGTTTTAATGGTTATTATGTTTTTTTCCTAGTTTCAGTTTGGTGCATTTGAGACTTCGATATTTCTCTATGTCTATGTTTAAGTTCCTTAAATTCTGCAGTGTGTCTTTCGTTTTATCTCAGAAGATCTTTTCTTTATTTCAGCATGTTTTGTGATTCTACACTTATTTTGGATTTTCGTTTTCTGTCAGCGGTTATCACTTCTGAGCTTGCATTTAATAGTTCTTTTGTTACGACTTCATTGATTTTATTTAACCTAAGTTTATCTAGATTTAATACTTTCGCGGGTATTATCTTGCTTTTATATTGTTCTGTATTGGATTTTAGTTTATCTGTGTCTATATTCCAAGTTTTTCTAAATTTATTTCCATTTTTATTATGTTTTATCTATAGCCGATATAGCCATTATATTCTTATTGATATTCGTTCGTAGTATCAATCATATTCTTTTCTTTTTTGTAGAGTTAATTTTTAACTAGTATAATACCTCAGTACTTATGGCTGTTAAAATGTTTATTAATACAAAAATGGTTTTGAAATTGGAGAGGGATAAGTTAAAGTTTATATATATTTTTACCTATTTTTCCGGGAATGAACACACATACACACAATCTATAAATAATATTAGTAAAAATAGTTTATATATGTATAATACTATAATAACAAAACTCACCCCATATACGACTGTTGATATCCCCCAAATTGGCCATAAGCATATCCTTGCATTCCTCCTAGAAACTGTCCCTGTATTTGTGCAGAGCTTGCGGTCGGATAACTTTGGGGATACCAGTAACTTAACTGCTGCCCGTAGGCACTGTAGGGAAAACTCGTACCTGCGATTGCCTGTAATACAAAAGTTATGATTATGAAAAATTTACCTTTTTAATATCGGAATATTCAAGGTTAAAAAGAATAATAATAATAATTATACAAATTATTTTAACCACATATGGAAAAAATAATATGCAGGTTAGTAAAGCAGTTTTCAAATTATAATTCGTTAGTTGACGACCAAGTCATTCTAGCTGAAGACTATATGGTTAGAGAACTGGAAGGAGAGTACATTAAGTGGGACCTTAAAATTAATATAGAAAAAAAACCGATTACTCAATTGTAGAAGAAAACATAGAAAGCATACAAATAAAATAGGAACTATAAATGCAACTGATTCCTTCAAATACTTGGGAGTCCAAATAACATCAAAAGCAGGGAATAACGAAGAAATATTTCTCAGGATTGGTCAAGCAAGAGCACCCACTAAACAACTACAGCGACTATTGTTGAATAATAAAAACACAAAAGAAAATAAAAGAAGAAATTATAAAACAACAATAAATCGGCGCTGAACTTTAGGAAATCAATCAAAGAAACAAATCAAAATTCAGGCCACTAGGGTGAGGAACGAAGACATAAGGAGATAAATGGAAATTGATCCATTGGCTGATTGACGAAATAGATACAACTGAAGTCAAAAGACTAAACTGGGACACCTGCAGAGAATCCCTAAAAACAGATTGCCAAAAAATATAGAAAAATGGACTCTGTCCACTAGAAGAAAACGACGTAGACCAAGATGGTCATGGAGAAAAAATTTTGAAGATGCAATGACTGCCAGAGATTTAAAAACTGAAGATCGCTTCGACAGAAAACGATGGAAATTAGAATGCGAGACGAGAAACAGAGCAACCTGTAGAAGACTCGTCTATTATTATTATATAATAATGCTGTTATTGTCTAAACATAATTCCAGTAATTGTTTTTCATTGAAAAATTAATTTTTGCATGCATTTGTAAACATTAACCATACTTTCATAGCACAATAACTTTTTAAAACAGAAATCGCTCCTAATATAATAAAATGTAACAGATAAAAAAACTATATTTTCGAAATTTGGCCTTTGTTTATAAAAAATAAGATTTAAATGACAGTAAAGCCTATGACTATGACCTACAACATCAGATATCTGTAATCTTTTTTTTTTCACCTATTTCGTTTTCTAAACTGGGGTAGCATTATTTACTTAGAATGCAGGTTCAAAAATGTTGTTAAAAATTGACGGAATTGTTATTTGTAAGATAATACTTTATTGCCTTCTTTCAGAATAAGAATAATCTTAGCCACTTTCAAATTATCTAAACATGTACCTTGTTCTTCTCTCTATATTTATTTTAATCCCCCTTCTGGCGAGGAAAGGTAGAGCTGATTTAAAAGTTCTTTGGCCTCATCTATCATATCAGCTATTAGTACAATATCATCTGCAAACCTTAGATGAATAAGCTTTTCTCCGTTTATGTTTATGCCCCTGTCAGTCAGTTTTGCCCTTTAACATATATATTCCAAAAGCGTAGTGAACAGTTTCGGCGATATGGTGTCCCCCTGGCGTACTACACGTTGTATCGGGAATTTCTGGGTTTGACGATCACCCACTCTAACACTGGCTGTTGCGTTTTGATATATGTGTTTAATTATATTTATATACCGATAGTCAATCCAGCATTCTGTCAAGGCTTCCAGCATTTTTTGTTGATTAACGGTGTCGAATGCCTTTTCATAGTCGACAAATATTAAAGCTAGCGGTTTATTATATTCAGTGCATTTTTCTATAAGATTTTTTATTACCAGTAGGTGATCGTTTGTTCCATAGCCTTTTCTAAAACCCGCCTGTTCTATGGGCTGATAAAATTCCAATTTATTTTCTAGTCGTTTCGTAATTATTTTTGTAAATAGTTTATAAATATGTGAAAGTAGACTTATGGGCCTGTAATTCCTGAGGTCGGTAGCATCCCATTTTTTTTGAAGTATGAAGGAACAATTTAAAAAGGACTAAAAAACTGATAAAAATAACACGACCAGAAGCCAGTAGAGAAGATGGAAATTCTAGTGAACGGTCTATGGACAATCCAACTTTGCCTGCGAAACGAGCATGCTGTAAATTTTGCTCTAAGAGCGATAATAAGAATTTTATGTAGTTTATGTCACAAACGTATTTGTAAAACCCATTCTTTTTATTACTGTCCCAGTTGTAAACTAAATTAAATTTTGTATGTATTTGTTCTTAGGCTTTTCTGGGAAAGAAAAAATGCCTTTTATTTTTGTTAATAAGGTTTAATTTACATTAGCAACATAATTTTTATTTATAAAGTTTTGTTTAGCATATTTTATTTCGATTAAGGACCGTAAACCATAGCTAACCCGTCTGTAGCATAAAAATAAAGGGCAAATGGTTCAATCTATCGATATTCTCAGTGTATGCACCAACCGAAGAAGCAGCAGAGGAAGAGAAGGAAGAATTCTATGACTCCCTAAGCCGATTATACACGGAAGCCCCAAAACATGACATCAAGATAATATTAGGGGACTTAAACGCAAAAATAGGCAAAGAAGAACACATAAGGCAGGTAGCTGGAAATCAGAGTCTACATGACATTACCAATGACAATGGTTCAAGGCTGATTGAGTTTGCAGCAGGGTGCAACATGATTATCAAAAGCACCCAATTTGCCAGGAAAAACATATATAAGGTAACATGGAGATCAAATGATGAAAGAACGAGGAACGAAATTGATCACGTATTAATTGATGGGAGGCATTGCAGTAGTATAATAGACGTAGGAACTAGACGGGGACCGGATAGTGATACAGACCATTTCCTAGTAAAGGCCAAGCTCAGAACTAGAATCTCAACACAAACAACAGACAAACAGATAAAGATCGAAAGATAGAATGTGTCTAAATTGGAAGAAGAAGAGGGAAAGAGATAATACCAACTAGAATTGAGAAACAGATTCCAGATGTTGGAAACGAAAGAAAATGAAAGAGAAAATATGAACCAGAAATGGCACTCCATTAAAACGATCATTACAGAAACAGCAGAGAAGTTTATAGGTCGGAAGAGAAAAGCAAAAAGAAAAAAATGGTTTGATGAAGAATGCGAGGATACCTTAAAAGAAGCAAACAAAAGAAGAATCGACTACCTAGCAAACCCGACGGATGAAAAGCGTGAACAATACAATAGAGAGAGAGCCTTAGCCAGAAGAACAGTAAGGAGAAAAAAGACACAACATTTACAACAACAAATTGAAAAAGTAGAACGTGAACACAGAAGCAAGCAAAATAAAAAATTCTACAAAGAAGTAAGACAACATAAGAAAGGTGCATATATAAGAACACCGAACTTTGTGAGAGATAAAAATGAGCAAATGGTTACAGCTGAAAATAAAATAATCGAAAGATGGGCTGAATACTTTGAAAGTCTTCTAAATGTCCAGGTAGAGGATGATGGAAAAAAAGCAAATTGTGAGTACCAAACGGCCGAAATAGAAGTACCCCCGCCAAGCCTGGAAGAAATTATCACGGCGATAGAAACCCTAAAAAATGACAAATCTCCGGGACTAGACAATATTGATGCAGAACTGATTAAAAAAGGAGGGCATGAACTTAGAACTAAAATACACCAATTAATGAAAGAAGCCTGGGAACAAGAAATAATACCAAAAGAATGGAGTGGCTGTATTATCGTGCCAATACATAAAAAAGGCAGAAAGGATACATGTGGCAACTACAGGGGAATCTCACTAATCGGTACTACATATAAGATATTAGCTTCAGTTGTACTAAAACGATTACTGCCATATAAAGAGGAAATTATTGGCGATTACCAATGCGACTTTAGGCCTGGAAGATCAACAATCGACCAAATATTTACTATCAGACAAATGCTAGAAAAGTATTGGGAATATAATAAAGAAGTACACCCGATCTTCATAGATTTCAAACAAGCATATGATTCCATAGATCGCTTAAAACTGTGGAGTGCAATGATGGAGTTAAGCATACCAAAGAAGCTGACCATGATTGCGCGAATGTGTGTCAACAATTCCTTTGCACAAATTAGAATAGGAGGCAAAACTTCAAAGGCTTTCGGCATAAGCACCGGGCTCAGACAGGGAGACCCGCTGTCCCCATTACTATTTAACCTAGCATTGGAATACGCAATGCGAAAAATCTATACCAGAGTCAAACCAGACATAACTGCCAGAAGAGCAAAGATTATTCTCGCATTTGCAGATGATGCAGATGCAGTAGCACAGACAACACTGGAAGTTAAGGATATAGTATCGAACTTTGAAGAAGCAACACTAAGCGTAGGCCTGAAAATAAACGAAGAAAAAACTAAATACGTGGTCGTATCAAAAAAGGAACGAGAGCGAATAAGACAAAACATTACCATAAACGATCATAATTTTGAGGTGGTCAAAGAATTCAAATACCTAGGAGCAACAATTACCAGTGAAAACACAGGAGAACGGGAGGTTGAAATACGAATACTGGCGGGGAATAAATCATTCTTTGCCATTCAACATCTAATGAGGTCAAAGCTTCTCTCAAGGCGTGCCAAAATCCAAATGTACAAAACCATAATACGACCAGCAGTGACATGTGGAAGTGAAACATGGACATTGAGAAAGAAAGAAATCAATAAGCTATTAGTATGGGAACGCAAAATCCTGCAAATTATATATGGTCCTTGCAGGGACAGGGTGACAAATGAATGGAGGAGCAGATACAACAATGAAATAGAGACTCTCTTCGGGAAAGGAAACATCGTAAGATACATAAAAGCCAATAGATTAAGATGGGCAGGCCACGTGGTACGGAGTGATGACGACAGACTGATTAGCAATGTGTTTTGGGTAAGACCAGATGGTAAAAGATCGACAGGAAGGCCTAGAAAAAGGTGGAAAGACGCAGTCAGGGAAGACCTGGAGAAGATGGAAGTAAGGCCGTGGGAAATAATAGCACAAATGCGGAATCAATGGAACGCAATAGTAAACGCGGCAAA